AACACAAGATTTCCTGACAGTGGTCTGCAGGTTCCAGAAGATTCAGTCCTCAAGGAGTCCGGACCGAAACTGGGACAAATCGAAAAATCTGGGCCCTCACATGGACCGACGCTGACCGAGGACAGGCGAGTCAGCACTATATTATGTTGACCTTGCCACTGCTTGGACATGCAGTCTTGCGAGTTGCTTGCGGCTACGACACTGCACGTGAAACTTGAGAGGAGGTGCTGGCTCCAGGCTGCTTGATGGGCGCCAGCCAGACACTATAGTATAAACAGAGGGTGAGGGCGGTCACGGCCACGACCATAGATGACGGTGAGGGAATGAGGAGAGGGAGAGAGAGAGTGTGGGTGATGTGAGTTGTCATGCATACGTACCTGGTTTCTTCAGATGTGAAGCTGCTGCCATTTCTGTTCTCTTTTGGAGGATCGTTTTTCTGCGAGGGGCTGTTTCCACATCATCCACGTGGTACACAGAGTAAAGATTGCTGACATGGCACATGAGTACAGAGTGCTGACATGGCACATTGAGTGCAGATTGCTGATGTGGCACATTGCGTACAGATTACTGACGTGGCAGAGGAGGGGAGCCTGAAGGAGAAGAGGGCCTTAATTGCTGTGTTACACTTCTCCTTCCAACTGTCTATTCACCCTTCCTCTCTTTTCAGGATACTGTGGACTTTGAGACATACACGTGGTAATGAGGAAACATGTACTTCAATGACTTCAAACTGATGGACTTATTGGATTGATTATCTCACGACATTGCAGGGCATTGTTATCTGCAACATGATTGGATGACGAGACTGGGCTCATTACAAAATGACCAAAAGTCAATAGATGTTTCCGATCAGTTACATCAGTGTGTACCCCATTCCGCCACTGCAGGGGCCTCTCTACTGAGGGCATACTCACACTACAGTAGGGCTTTTTCTACTCAGGTCCGGACGTGATTACTGTCAGATGCATCCAGATCTGGCCGTAATTGGAGCCACATACATTTGGGGAAGTGCTAGTGTGAGTATGGCCTGAATCTGACAGTATTTGCGATTGACCAAACTCATTAAAGTATGTGTGAGCAGACCCTCAGTTCTGCT